CATAAGAATGGCCATACTGGGTCAGACCAAAGGTCCATCCAGCCCAGTATCCTGTCTACTGACAGTGGCCATTGCCAGGTGCCCCAGAGGGAGTGAACCTAACAGGTAATGATCAAGTGATCTCTCTCCTGCCATCCATTTCCACCCTCTGACAAACAGAGGCTAGGGACACCATTCCTTACCCCTCCTGGCTAATAGCCATTAATGGACTTAATCTCCATGAATTTATCTCTTTTAAACTCTGTTATAGTCCTAGCCTTCACAACCTCCTCAGGCAAGGAGTTCCACAGGTTGACTGTGCACTGTGTGAAGAAGAACTTCCTTTTATTTGTTTTAAACTTGCTGCCCATTAATTTCATTTGGTGGCCCCTGGTTCTTATATTATGGGAACAAGTAAATAACTTTTCCTTATTCACTTTCTCCACACCACTCATGATTTTATATACCTCTATCATATCCCCCCTTAGTCTCCTCTTTTCCAAGCTGAAAAGTCCTAGCCTCTTTAATATTTCCTCATATGGGACCCGTTCCAAACCCCTAATCATTTTAGTTGCCCTTCTCTGAACCTTTTCTAATGCCAGTATATCTTTTTTGAGATGAGGAGACCACATCTGTATGCAGTATTCAAGATATGTGCACACCATGGATTTATATAAGGGCAATAAGATATTCTCCGTCTTATTCTCTATCCCTTTTTTAATGATTCCTAACATCCTGTTTGCTTTTTTGACTGCCGCTGCACACTGCGTGGACGTCTTCAGAAAACTATCCACGATGACTCCAAGATCTCTTTCCTGATTAGTTGTAGCTAAATTAGCCCCCATCATATTGTATGTATAGTTGGGGTTATTTTTTCCAATGTGCAATACTTTACATTTATCCACATTAAATTTCATTTGCCATTTTGTTGCCCAATCACTTAGTTTTGTGAGATCTTTTTGAAGTTCTTCACAGTCTGCTTTGATGTTAACTATCTTGAGCAGTTTATTATCATCTGCAAACTTTGCCACCTCGCTGTTTACCCCTTTCTCCAGATCATTTATGAATAAGTTGAGTAGGATTGGTCCTAGGACTGACCCTTGGGGAACATGACTAGTTACCCCTCTCCAGTCTGAAAATTTACCATTTATTCTTACCCTTTTTTCCCTGTCTTTTTAACCAGTTCTCAATCCATGAAAGGATCTTCCCTCTTATCCCATGACAACTTAATTTACCTAACAGCCTTTGGTGAGGGACCTTGTCAAAGGCTTCCTGGAAAATCTAAGTACACTATGTCCACTGGATCCCCCTTGTCCACATGTTTGTTTGATCCCTTCAAAGAACTCTAATAGATTAGAAAGCCATGATTTCCCTTTACAGAAACCATGTTGACTTTTGCTCAACAATGTATGTTCTTCTATGTGTCTGACAATTTTATTCTTTATTATTGTTTCAGCTAATTTGCCTGGTACTGACGTTAGACTTACCGGTCTGTAATTGCTGGGATCACCTCTAGAGCCCTTTTTAAGTATTGGCGTTACATTAGCTATCTTCCAGTCATTGGGTACAGAAGCTGATTTAAAGGACAGGTTACAAACCATAGTTAATAGTTCCGCAATTTCACATTTGAGTTCTTTTAGAACTCTTGGGTAAATGCCATAGTGTATTCAGCATAAAGACCACTGTGGTACAATAGCTTTTGTGCAGAAGTCCCCTGCACACAACATTTTCTCTTCTCAAGCTCAGCTCAACTGAACATTGTTAATTATGCTGATAATTTAGGAAAACCCCCAGTAAACCTCGTCTCCTACAGTGCTTGTGCCCCACCAATTGTGGTGGTGATCTTTGTTTGACTATGAACAATAATGAGACTCACTTTTTAGTATAATTTTCCAGTGCACATTATATACTAAAAAGCCATGATCGCTTTCCAATGAATTTACACAGCAAAATAAAATGAGATTTGCTTTTTCTCCTGCATTGACTGTTTGTATTGTTGTGGCAATAAGCCTCCATCTAATGCTCTAGTCTCATCTTTTTAAAAAAGTTTATGAAGAAAGTAAAACAGGACTGAAACATCCAGTTCCAGATAACCCCTCATAAGCACTGTTCATTGTTCCCAGTGTGTGTATCTGTATGTGTGATTTCCCTCAGTACTACTGGCAACACAACACTTGAAATGGTTTATAGATTTAGCTGTAGCTGATAAGTCCTTCACCCATATCCTCAAGTACAGTTCGGGTGCTGTAAACTCCATTTATTAGCTGCCAATGGACTATTCTGGGATAAAACTTTAGCTGGCCCAAAAGTGTGTCTGTTTGGTCTAAAAATGGATAAACCTTGACAATTACTGTATTTTCAAGATCTATTATACATGCCTTTGAAGATACACAACACCTGCTTCTCTGACCAAGAGAGGGCACAGAAGAATTTGAAATTGCACTAGTGTATGCAACCAGAATGTAAACATCTATGTTTCTAGCATCCAGGACCACAAATTAGTGAGCAACAGGGGAGGGGCAGCATCTCTTAGTTAAGTATTTCCCAGATCCCCAGGTGCGTGGCTGTAACTCATACACTTTAAACAAGCACTGTAACTTAACCACATAGTGAAAAATAAATATACGCAGCTTTTATTCAAGTCACTATAGAAATTGGGTTGTAATGACTACCAATGCTTCCCTGAATACTAAACCAACTTCACTAATGTAAAATAGCATATGCCATAATTACTCTCAATTTCCCCAGCAAATTTAACCCTCCACAACATCAGCTTTACCTAATATTTAATGTAAAGAGATGTTGGTGTGGACACCTATTTATGTTACAGATTATTTCCTTTCAGTGTTGTATTGAGAAACAAGCCTGTTAGAGCTGATGTAACAACCCACTTAGATAGAAATATAGGTATGTTCAAACTGGCCAAGTCTGACAGCTGGCCACATTCCGAGGAGCAGCCAGCTGGAAAAGAAATTAGCAGACACAGGGCTCACTTTTTCAGAACAGCTATTCCTGCTCAGCTCCCTGAAAGTTATCTTCTCTCATATGCTTGTTTCCTCCCCACAGAAAGCTGGAATTCCCTGGTAACATTTATACAGCCTTGCTTTAAACAGCACACAAAAAAGTGTATACTTTAAAACAAACAGCAAGCACTGTAAAGTAAAATCAGGATTGGTAAACATAGCAGTCATTTTCTGTGGCCAGTTACTCTGCAGTAGCTGGTCACCAACACTCTAGCACAGCAATTAGGAGTCTCAGTCATTCTCATTATCAACCTTCTTGCGGGTGAAAAGCATTCTGGCAAGTTTACTTGCCAATTTTCAGCACAGAATAATTAGTGATTTAAAGATTCTGCCACTGATGAACAAAGCATTTGGAAAAGCACCATCTCTTGATTTGGAAATACTATGGAAAACAAAACTATGTTTACACAAAAAATAAAATAAAAAACTTAAGAACATTACATTTGCCAAATCAAGCACTCAAAAGTTATGCATTGCCAGAATTAAGATTACTTATGAACCCTTAATTTCGCCCCTTTCAGCACATGATCACATACTGTTTTTCCATAGGATCCCTGCTGTATTCAGTGCAAAGGATGAACTCTGATCACTAAACAGGTAGCTAATGAATATTTATTTCTGGCATCACCCGTGTGTGGCCACAGGCCATATTTATGGCACACCTTCCAGACCACATACTGAATACAGACTTATTACTTCACATGCTTTTCTGTGGTGCTGATCACCTTTATTAATGTTTATGAAGTGCTACAAAGTGAGGTAGGGCAATATTATCCACATTTTACAGACTGGGAACTGAGGCACAGAAAGATTTTAAATCAAAATTGTCAAAATTATCCATTAATTTGGGATGCCAACTTGAGATACCTAGTACCTAATTCATATGTTCAAAACACAGCTCCCATTAGCTTCATTTATAGTTGTGAGTGCTCAGAACTTCTGCAAATCAGACCCTAGAAGGTAGAACTACAAAGATGATTTGGCTCATTATTGCAACTCCTAACTTTAGGCATTCTGTCACCTAGTGGAGTCCTCAGCCCTGAATTATGTGTCCAGACTACACATACAATGCATAGGGAGAGTTGGGACCTACAAAAGGGATTCACAGAAGCCAAGCTAAGCAGGTGAACTTACTGGTGAACAGACCCTTTACTTTTTTTTCAATTTCAAAAGACATGAAGTGAAAGCATTTCCAAATAACTGGGTGCACAACTAGATGCACCTTTTACCCCTCTACACAATGTCTCCTTTATGGTCATGTCACTCCTCTCTACAGATCTGTGGTCCATATGCATTTTACCCCCATTAAATCTTTGGCTTGCTGTGGCTCCAAATAAGATTTTCAGTCATTGCCAACTGTGATGATATTTCTGAGAAATAGACCTCCTCCTCACTTGGAACTGGACTGAGGCAAACAGCTCATCTTGCCTAGGTTAATAAATAGCAGTCAGATAGTGCTTAATTTCAGGATGAAGGTAAAGGATTGTGGTTTGAGAGTAATGGAAGGGGAGGTAGTTTTAATAAATTCATAGATTCCAAGGCCCAGAAGGGACCAATCTACTTTGACCTCCTGTATAAAAGAGGTCCTAGAACTTCTCCAAAATAATTCCTAGAGCATATCTTTTAGAAAAACATCCAGTCTTGATTTAAAAATTGTCAGTGGTGGAAAATCCACCTCAACCCTTGGTAAATTGTTCAGATGGTTAATTACGCTGTCAAAAATTTATGCCTTATTTCCAGACTGAATTTGTCTAGCTTCCATTTCCAGTCATCGGCTGATATAATTTATACCTTTGTCTGTTAGATTGAAGAGCCCATTGCTAAATAATTGTTCCCCATGTAGATTCTTATAGATTATAACCAAGTCACCCCATAACCTTCCCTTTAAGCTAATTAGATTGAGGTCTTTGAGTTTATCACCACAAGGAATGCTTTTTAATGCTTTTAATTATTCTTTTGGCTCTCCAGTTTATCAACACCCTTCTTGAATTGTGGGCACCAGAACTGGCCACAGTATTCCAGCAGCCAAATACAGAGGTAAAATAGCCTCTTTACTCCTATTCAAGATTCTCCAGTTTATGCATTCAATGATTGCATTAGCTCTTTTGGCCACAGCGCACATTGGGAGCTCATGTTGAGCTGATTATCCACCACAACCCCCAAATATTTTTCAGAGGCACTGCTGCTCAGGATAGAGTCCACCTTGCTGTAATTATGACCTACATTCTTCATTCCTACACTTACATTCATTCACTTACATTTAGCCATATTATAATACACATTGTTTGCTTGTGCTCAGATTACCAAGTGATCCAGATTGCTCTGAATCAGTGACCTGTCCTCGTAATTATTTACCACTCCCCCATTTAGTGTCATCTGTAAACTTTATCAGTTGTGATTTTGTTTTCTTCTAGGTCATTGATAAAAATATTAAATAGTGTAAGGCCAAGAACAGATCCCGGTAGGATCCCCACTGGAAACACACCCACTTTGATGATAATTCCATGTTTCCAGTTACGTTTTGAGACCTATCAGTTAGCCACTTTTTAATTAATGTAATGTGTTCCATGTTAATCAAAATTTCTTCTGGTATCAAATCAATTGCCTTACAGAAGTCTAAGCATATTATTTCAACACTATTACGTCTATCAATCAAATTTGTAATCTCATCCAAAAAAGATACCAGGTTAGTTTTACAGGAACTGTTTTCCATAAACCAATGTTGATTTGCATTAATTACGTTACACTCTGTTAGTTCATTATTAATTGAGCACCGGATCAGCTGCTCCGTTATCTTGCCTGGGATCAGTATTAGGCTGACAGGCCTATAATGACCTGAATCATCCTATTTAGCCTTTTTAAAAATTGGCACAGTTGAGACTGAGAAGAGGTTCTGAGGATGGGGAATGACTTAACTGCTGATCTCCTTACTTTGTGTGGTCTGTTGGTGGGAAATAGTAGCAATCTTAAGTTAATAAAGTTTTTTGTGTATAAATAGATGTGTGTACATAGATATGTAGGTAGAAAATATGTAATTTAAAGGAACATCAAGATAGGTGTAGACCAGAATAGAGTAACTGTGATTAATTTTTTCTGTAAGCCTGGCCTTCCTTCCCCTTTTCCCCCTTACTGTTTGTTAATATCACTATTTGCATTATGTCTAAAATAACAAAATGTAGCAAAATATGCACATGCTGCTAGCAGGGTCAGAGAGTTGCACTTTGTTAAATTGCACTAGCTAACCCTGCAGAGTTTTAGCGTTTACAACCTTTCATATTGAATGACCATTTGTGCTATAGTGAGCTGGTTCCATAAACCTTTATCCTGCTCTTCTGCTGCATATTGAAAAGTCACCGTGATGTGTAATGACTTACTCTGGTTGAAGAATTAATAATGTTGCTGTTTTTAATTTACGCAGGACAGCCATGAAAGCAGAATAAAGGCTTTCTTTCATGCAATTTGCATGAAGATCTCACCTCATTGAAAATCATAGATCTTTAATTCCTAGGAACTAATAATTCCTCTATTAATTCAGAAAAAGAAACACTCACTGAAAAGCACTTCTCCTGATGATTAAATAACCATTCTCCTCTTCTGGATGTATATTGTTGCATCTAGGAATCAAGAGGAAAATCTTACCTTATAAAAGTGTTAAGTGAAAAATCTTTGCAGCCTATTTCAGTTGCCTCTGTATCCTATGTAACATGTTGTATGTACTTCCTTAGGGAAGGCCAGTGGAGGTTGATCTGCTTCCCAGATTTTTATCTTGGCAGAACATGAATTTCCACTCTTCATCCATCAAAAAATATTGTAGTTGTAATACTGAATATTTTGTCATGTAAATATAATTTTTAAAAAGACACCTTTTCAGGTACAGAGATCTTTTTAGAATGCATTTTATATAGTATCTATCATGAAAAGTATCATAGACACTTTACAGTAAAACAGATTCATATTAAATGATTAAAATGGTATAAGTTCAAAACAATAATTCCCATTAGTTAATATTTTTGAAATCTAGTAGTAGATTTTTAATACTTCAGTAATATGAAAGGATTGTAAATTCCCAGATGTAAATTGCTGAATTATACATCATATGAAAATTGAAATATAAGCATTATAGAATTTAAGATGGAAAACATGGCTATCTGATATTTGTATTGTGTAAGGAATAATCTGTTTTCAAAGATAACTGATTTAAAACACCATTAAGAACTAAATCTACAGAAGAGTGTGATTGTGTGTGAATTTGAAAAGTACTTTTGTATAAAACATAGCTTTATTTGACTTTTTCAGAAATTACTGTTCTGAGAGACATGTCGCAATACTACTCTTGTTTTTGATTACCTGAATTTGTTTGGAGACAAACATATAATATGGGTAAGTTAATCTGATTTTATTTATTATTTAAAAAAAAAAACAAAGAAAAAATCTCACAAGATGCATACTGTAGAATATGTACAATATGTACATGCAGTGTGTCTAACGACACCAAAATGGCCATGGTTTGAAACATGCAGTAGCAAAACAAGGATTTTGATAATTTGCAATTATCATACTAAAATGTGTACAACTGTAAGGGAATGTGTATGTATCTGTATTGCACCAATCTCTCTGGTCTCTAGGTGTCAAATACAGGTGCTTTAAGTTTCAGTTTTTGTCATGGTAGGACTCTATTCTCCAGACCACCTTTACTGAGGTTGTAGATCTATGCTTTGGTCTCAACAAGCTGAATTCTACATGCTGACAACTGCATCAAACCTGTGTTCTGAGGGAGAGGCATGCTTTGAGGTAGTTGACTTTAGCCAATTAAGGGTTCTGAAGAGGAGGACCAGCACTCTGAAATAGATATAATATGGAATGGAAAACCTGTGTAGGCTACAGATCACAGCTGTAATATGTTCTCATCTACCTGTTCTGCTTAGGAGACAGACAGACATAATCATTATTGAATCCAGACATCACATGTAAGAGAGTGTGAAAGTAAAGAATCTATTTGATTTTTCCCTTTGGTCAAGTCCAGTGATGCTGTTGTTCTAACACCACTGATTAGTCAACAAGATCTTGATCCTTTATGGATGATTCAGTACCTACTGTAATGACCTCACCGGGAGTTATCCCTGATCGCGCTAGTATGTGCAAGCGGCTTGCATGCTCCCAGATAGGAGACGCAAACTGCTACATGGAAAGGACTCCTAGCTTACCCTTGAGCTAGAGAAAGTGATGATAGGCCCTATGCCATTCAACCAGGGTTCTGCCAATCCACAGGCAAGGACCCACCCAGGTGATCCCAAGGCAGCCCAACCCCAGAGCCATCACTCCTAGCTGGAGCCTTCACCCCTTGCACCCAACCCTCTGCCCCAGCCCTGAGCCCCATCCCGCACCCCAAACTCTTCATCCCCGGCCCCACCCCAGAGCCTGCACCCCCAGCCAGAGCCCTCACCCCCATCACACATCACCTCCATATTGGTGCACATAACAAAATTCATTCCGCACATGGATATAGAAAATTAGAGGGAACACTGGTCCACAGGCCTTGGTGAATTGTTCCACTAGTTAATTACAGTAACTCCTCGCTTAACGTTGTAGTTATGTTCCTGAAAAATGCTACGTTAAGCGAAACGATGTTAAGCGAATCCAATTTCCCCATAAGAATTAATGAAGCTTGGTTGAGGTGGTGAAGTCAGAGAGTGGAAGAGGGTGGGATATTCCCCAGGGAATGCCTTACTGCTAAATGATGAACTAGCACTCTGCTGAGCCCTCAAGGGTTAACACATTGTTGTTAATGTAGCCTCACACTCTACAAGGCAGCACGAATGGAGGGAGGGAGACAACATGGTAGAGAGAGACAGAGATACACACCGTGTGTGTGCGAGAGAGAGAGAGAGATGCACATTGCCCCTTTAAGTACGCTGACCCCACTCTAAGTACACTGCCTTTTTAAGTAGATCAGCAAGTTGAGACAGCAGCTGCTGCCAGCAAGCTCCCTCCGTCCTGAACCCTGTTGTGTCCCCTGCTGCTCTGTGGCAATGGGGTAAAGGAGCGGGGGGCAAGAGCGGGAGGGAGGGGGACACCCTGACATTAGCACCCCTCTTCCTCCCCTGCCCCCCTGCATAGCAAGCAGGAGGCTCCCGGGAGCAGCTCCAAGGCAGAGGATAGGAGCAGCACACGGCAGTGGGGGGAGGGACAGCTGTACTGCCCAGCAATTGATAGCAAGCACAGGGAACTTAGGGGAGTGAGGAGCTGGCCCACCCTGTTCCAAGCCCCCACTAGCTAGCTCCAATGGGCTGCTCTTTCTGCAAGCAGTAGACAAAGCAGGCGGCTGCCAAACAACGTTATAAGGGAGCATTGCACAGCTTTAAATGAGCATGTTCTCTAATTGATCAGCAACGAAACAACATTAACCGGGATGATGTTAAGTGAGAAGTTACTGTACAGTGACTGTTAAAAACTGTGCCTTATCTTGGGTCTGTATTTGTCTTGCTTCAACTTCTAGCCATTGGATGTTGTTATATCTTTGTCTGCTAGATTGAAGACCCATCTATTATCAGATTTCTGTTTCCCATGTACATACTTACAGATCGTGATTGTCACCCTTAGCCTTCTATTTGATAAGCTAAATCATGACAGTTGTATACAACAAATGGAGAGGAGGACAGGTAATAGGCGAGTGGCAGCACTAATTTGGTTGACTTACTGTACCCTCTACACACTCGCACGACATATATCATTTGAAAGCTTATTATGTCTACTTTAAGATGAGGTATGATGTGGAGCTGTCAAGTGGTTCTGTTACTATAGAAATGGGGATAAACAGTGACACCATTGACATGTTAAAATGACCACTCTGAAATATTTGCGTTAGTTTCTCTTTAATAACTATTTCAAGACATAAAACTGGATTTCTTTGTGACCTCAAAGCATCACAACAATAACCTGAAGGGTAAAATAAAATCTAATAATAAATTTGTACAGGTGTTGTTGAAATGTAATAGCGCTGATGACTATTCTAGTCAAGCATATTTTCTTTATCTTGTTTATCATTATCTCTGTTGGGAATGAATGGGATACCACAGTCTTCATTGCCTTGGCATGTACACAGTTTTGTGCTGGGAAGATTGTTCTGATTAGAGACACTGTATAAGAGACTCTCATTGCCCGGGGAGAGTAAAGTGACTTTTCTTTCCTGTGCTTCAGTGATATTTCTTGTGATGCTGGACTATCTGCAGACTAAACGAACGAGTCTCTAAGGTGCCACAAGTACTCCTCGTTCTTTTTGCTGATACAGACTAACACGGCTACCACTCTGAAACCTATCTGCAGACTGTTCTTGAAATACCACTCTAGCTGTTGAATTGAAGGTATTTTTTCCATCAGTGATCTCTGCATTGATGTCTTTATAATTATCTCCTTCGTGCATGAGAGTTGAACCAGCATGAAGTGGATCAGTTCCATTTGGAATGAACATACCTCTCTGGAGTCTCCTACTTCAGTTTTTGCAGCAGTAGTGATGAACCACCTCAGCTTATAGTAATTGATGTGGAATCCATGAAGGTGTAGTATGTCAATTAAATTGCAAGACCCAAACTCATGGTATAGCTGTGAAGCAAGGTTTATGTGCACTGGTGTAATAATTGTGGAACTGTTAAACACTATGCACTCTGCTATTGAGACACATTTTCTTTGAAAGGATGATACTTTTTGCTGGCTGAATTATATACCTCTTTATCAACCAGAGGACAAATTCCTGCACCAATTGGGGCGCACAAAAGTAGCTGACCTCAGTAAACTGCAGTCACCTAGCTTTGGATGATAATCTGAATATTTCAGAGTGAAGGATTGAAGCGGCATTATAAAAAATCACTTGTTCATTTGAAAGCTGTTCATCAGTCTTACTCGCCAGAAGAACATTGACAAAATACTGACTTAAGTTTCTGCTTCAGATTACTAGGAGCTTGGATAGCATCAGCTAATGTTGTGCTGCATAGAACAATGGTAGACTTACCTTGTCTTTGCTGTGTGTGGAATGAAATTGCAGAACCATAGTGTTTTTTTTTCTAACCTTGTCTGTAATTTACTACTGGAATAGTTTGCAGTTTCGACGTCTGAGGGAAGTAGGACTTTATATCTTTGTAGCAGCTTGGACAGGCGAAGAGCCTTTTTGTTGTACATAAGATCATTGTCTCTCTCTTCAATCAGATGATAAAATGTAGCGTGATCATTGGATTGTTGCAGTATAACTAGATGCTTTTGCTTTAAGATTCGTTTTATTCAAGCAGGAAAAAGGGCATGTTAAGTGATAAACTGCATCCTTAGCAATCAGGTGTCCACAGATAGTCTGCTCAACTTGTCATCGTCTCTTGGTTGAAGTGCTGCCTTCCTTAGTTTGGTTGCTCTCTCAGATGTCTATTTTATGAAGCTTCTTGTCTGTCTTGGTGCATTGTTTGCTTGAGAAAAACCATACAAGATCAATTGCTGGAGGATGTGCTTGTTCTTGTGGCTCTAGAAGCAGGAAAATGTGATGCTCTCTGATCAAATTCACAGTCATTTTTTTTCTGGGTTCAATACTACTCTGACATGTTCCAAATTCAGTTTGCTTGTATATTTCTGAAAGCAACCCCTGCGATTAAATATTGGTTCCACATCATCCCAATTAGATAACTCATCCAGTTGCTGCCAATACAATTAATCTTTCCTGGTTTCTAGTGCCAGCATCACAGAATTCTGTCCAGCACTGGTGGCTTTTGAGAGTTTTGCTTTCTTTCGATCTTCTTGACAAATACCACATTTTAAAAAGTTTATGGAGAGTCTTTTTCTCTTTGATGTAAACTTTAAGGGGCTTGTATCCACCATATTTTCAAATACTTTAATGTCCCTGTAGCGGTAAAATTCCCAAAGTATATTAGCGTTACCACCACCAGTACCACCATTTTTCATTTTGTACAAGTATATAGACTTGTGCTAAATTAGATATAAATTAGATCTATGTTAGTATCAAAATTGCCATTTTTGTTTAGTGAGCACTTTGTTTGACGCCCAATATGAAGCTGTGTATTATCTTTAATACTAAAAAGTGTCACTGAATTAACAGCTAGTTTCCAGAATATTTCAAAGGCTAGTTTGCATGCATAAGCAATTACAAATTAAAATCTTCTACCAGGCAGACTAGATGCTATATAGTACGTATGAAAGCTTACAAATGGAGAAGCATTACATTAAGAATTCACATACATTTATATCTACCCACTGTGCAGTACAAACTGTGGGCACAGAGTCTGCTGCTACTAGCACCTTCAATGTGAAACTGATCTGGTCAGTAAATTTCAATTGAAGATATGGATGAGATACTTTGACAATTTCATGGTAGAATATTGCATAAT